GGGGGCGCCTCCACTTGGCTTGGAGGCCAAGCCACCCCTAGGGCAGCCGCCCCTCCCTAGATGGGATCTACAAGGGGCCGGCGCCCCCCTAGGCCCCTATATATAGTGGAGGGGAGGGAGGGCAGCCGCACCTGAGTCCCTGACGCCTCCCTCCCTCCCGTGACACCTCTTCCTCCCCGCTTGCGCTTGGCGAAGCCCTGCCGGGATCCCGCTACTTCCACCACCACGCCGTCGTGCTGCTGGATCTCCATCAACCTCTCCTCCCCTTGCTGGATCAAGAAGGAGGAGATGACTCTCCCAACCGTATGTGTGTTGAACGCGGAGGTGCCGTCTATTCGGCGCTAGGATCATCGGTGATTTGGATCACGACGAGTACGACTCCATCAACCCCGTTCATTTAAACGCTTCCGCTTAGCAATCTACAAGGGTATGTAGATGCACTCCTCTCTCTCTCGTTGCTAGTCTCTCCATAGATAAATCTTGGTGACTCGTAGGATTTTTTTTTGAATTTCTGCTACGTTCCCCAACAGAATCATGTTGAAATCATCCAAATCATCCAAGGGCCCGGGCACATCGAGCGTCGCAGCTAAACTTGGGAATAGTTTGGTCTGGAACCATACTTTCAATTTGGTTTTCCTGTTGGGCTCCTTTGGTTTGGTTGAAATGGGTTGAGTCACTTGCAGTACGCGGATGATACGCTTCTATTGTTCCAACCAGACCCGCACAGCATCGCAACAGTCAAAGCTCTGCTACTTAGCTTTGAACTTATGTCGGGGCTTAAGTGATGTCTTTGGGTTTGGAGGCGCAGGATAGTAGGTGCATCGCGGACCTGCTAAATTGCAAGTTAGGAAAACTGCCCTTTACCTATCTGGGCCTTCCGTTAGATGCCAAGCGCATCAAGATCGACGGCTGAGCCCCGCTGTGGACCAAGGTGGGTGGACGGGTTTGCCCTTGGAGGGGAAAGTTTCTCTCCTCCCCAGCCAGGTTGGTGCTCACAAATCCGAGCCTCTCCTCGCTGCCTCAATTTGCAATGGGGCCGTTCCTTTTGGCCAATGGGGTGCATGCTAGGATGGACACTCCCCGGTCCCGTTTCTTTTGGGAAGGAGCGGGACCTAAGCGCAAATATCACATGGTTCGTTGGGATGCGGTGTGTCGTCCGAAGGCCCAGGGTGGGCTAGGGATCACGAACACCAGAATCCTCAACATTGCACTCATGTGTAAATGGATCTGGAAGCTGTCGCAGGGGGCGACAGGCCTGTGGGTTGATCTACTCCGAACTAAGTACTTCCCGTCGGGGAACTTCTTTGAAGGGGTGGCCAGGGGCTCACCGTTTTGGAATGACCTTCAAGCGGTGCGGCCAGCCTTCGCCTTGGGAGCCAAGTTCTCCGTTGGCAATGGTCGTTCGGCCCGGTTTTGGTTGGATCACCGGGTAGGATCTCAACCCCTCTGGTCCGCTTTTCAGGACCTGTACATCCAGGCGGTCAATCCGGACACGAGCGTAGCCTCGGCGCTTGCCTCCTCCCCTCCCGCGATCTGTTTCAGGCGCCCGCTAACAGGAACGGAACTAGCCCACCTAGCTGAGCTGCGTGAGCTTGTCGCGCCGGTGACGCTTACCATGGACGCGGACACCGTGTCGTGGTCCCTCACCCCTTCCGACAAGTTCTCGGTAAAATCTTTATACCGTAAGATGTGCCAGAGCCAGGCCTGCCTTGTGCCGAAAGGCCTTTGGACCGCGCGTCTCCCTCTCAAGATTAAGGTGTTCTTCTGGCAGATGTTCCGCAATCGGCTGCCCACCTCGGCTAACGTGGCCAAACGGAATGGTCCGTCGACGGGCACTTGCGCGGTTTGCCACGTCGCGGAAGATGCGAATCATGTTTTCTTCCGCTGCCCTTTAGCTCGCTTTGCTTGGAGTGCGGTCCGAGCAGCCGCTAACACCTCTTGAAACCCACGATCGACCTCCGACCTTGCGGGCTTATTTGCCTCTGCCTCTGGAGGCAACAATCGCGTGCTGTGGAGCTGTATTGGAGCCCTAGCTTGGTCTCTCTGGCTAACTAGGAATAAACTTGCGATCGAGGGTATATTCCCAACGCATCCTGCTAACATCATATTCAAATGCAACCTCTTCCTGCAGCAGTGGAATTCGTTGGTGAGGCGCAAGGATGCTGACAAGATGAAGCATGCCCAAGATCGTCTGCGCGCCGTCTACATTTTGGCTAGGGAGCCTCCCGCCACATCTCTGTCGTGATTGGGGCCCTTTTGCGTCGTGTTTGAGCGAGTCTGCGTGCTCTATGCTCTGGCTTCGAGCCATGTTCTCGCTTCACTCTTCTCTGGCCAGGTCTTTCGTGTGTAAACTTTAAGTTATCGTTGGCCGGGAGTCTCCGTGCTCGTGTCGTTTACTTCTCGGAACTCGGTCTGTTACGCTGCGTGCTGTGGGCTTTATTAATTTAAAGTCGGACGCATCTAAGCGTCTTCATTCTAAAAAAATGGGTTGAGTCGGTTTTCTAGTTTGGTTTGGTGTGGGCTTTCGTAATTAATAGATTGGATTGGTTTGGTCTGGACAGAGATAAATTTGTCTCAGACCGTTTTAGTCCATGGATAAAAAATTGTCTTGCGAGTGCGACCAGTTTGTGCGAGACCTAGCGCTAGGTTTAGGTGCAGTCACCGCCGCAGATGAGCAACATGAGAGTGCGTACCGCCCCGCCACCACTGAGATCTCCGCTGTCAAAAGTCAACTCCTTCATGCAGAACACGAGGAGCCCAAAGCTGAGGCCTTCGACGACGTTGCTGACAAGCTCGACCTTGGCAATGTGGCCGACGAAGGCGACGGTGATGAACTGGGAGACTCCGGCTCCACCATCTGCTCTTTCGGTGCACTCACGAACTGCGGACACTGACGCTCCTCACACCAAGCACACACCAAGGTAGCCGCCTTTCGTACATGCCTCATACCTTTTGTTCTGTACGTACATGTTACGTTTGGGGTCCAACGTTCCAGTAGCTGCTGACCGGCCCATGGTTTGAAACTTTGGGTTCTACCTGTATGTAGAAAATGGTCAGGATGGATTTGGGCTTGAAAATACATATAGTTTGGATTGGATTGGATTGTAGCATTTTCAATTTGGTTTGGTCTAGTTTGATCGTTAGACTTATACATGTATGGGTTGTCCTGGGTTTAGTTTGGATTACAAACTATTCCCAGGTTTAGCCGCAGCCACATCTCATCAAGGAACAAACTTCAGCTTGTCGTCTTGCAGGCCATAGATGATCGTGATCCAGTGGTTACTTTCATCTTTAGTCTTCCCCTAATAATAAAGAGCCTAATGCTTCTGGTGATACGTCATACAAATTGCCGCCGGAGTTATCAATATTTACCCACCACACCATCGGTAAGTGAAAAAAAATGATTCGTTTTCTCTTCACAAATCACCATCGGATTTCGGTTATTTATCAAGGCGAGCTCTTCTTATACCACAAACATGCCAATAGCGCAATGGCTTGAACGTGGGATCGAATCCCACCTCTCCTCCTTTCTGCTGCTGTATTTCCTTACCAATTTCTGTTGGTGTAGGATACAATTGCCTCGCTCAAGCATGGCTTAGCTGATGGTTGCAATGTGGCAATTTTGGCCCAGCTACACTATTTTAAACTTTTTCTCTCTCTTTCTAACAGATTCAAATGCTTTAAAAAAACCTTTCAAACCATAACTTCAAAATAAACATGCTATATATGGAAATCCCTCAAAACAAATGTGTATATTTCAAATATGCTATTATCTTGCATGTTAATTGTTTCTAAAATTATGTTTAAGTAACTAATACTCTTATTTATATGGTGTATTTTGAAAATGCCTATTATATCTATACCTACATTAACTATTAAAGTAAAAAGTGTTTATGCCCATGATTTTTTTTAAAATTCGATGCATTAAAAAATGTTAATGAAATTGTATAAATTGTTTCCAATTTAAAAAATGTGCATGAATGGAAAATATGCAAAAAAAATTAAAAAACTGTTTGTGACTTATAAAATAGTTTACTCATAAATGTTTGCTCATTGAAAAAATGGTCATGCATTTCAAAAAATGTTCGCAAATTTTAAAAATTGTTCCATCAATTTTCAAAATAAAGTTTGTCCATTCAAGAAATGTTCACAGATTCAAGACTTTTTTTCTAAAAAAAAATGTTCACAGTTTTAAAAAAATTGTTTGCAAATAGTATAAAATGTTCACGAATTCAAAAAAATTCTTGATTTTAGAAAATGTACGACAATTTATAAAAGTGTTCATTAATTTGAAAAATGTTCACGATTTAAATATGCTTACGAGTTCAAAAAAATATTCGTAATCTCACCGAAATCAAAAGTGATAGTGTATCTCGATGATGCAGCCCCATCTGCACAGGGCTTCCATAAGGTTCTCGGCCCTTCTTCCGTGCATTAACTCAATGGCTGTGCCGACGACTTACTACTGGAAATCGTGGGTGCTGTATTTCGTCTCATAGAAATACAAAAGCGTATCACCCATTTCCTACAATTCTGTTTGAACAAATATGTGATCATGGTCATTGAAGATTATGATTTTTTTTTGAGCGCGACATTGTATCAGAAGGTAGTATCACAAGCGAGTAGGATACCCCTCCAATCTCATTCGCCGGCAAATAAGCAAAGCCATTCAACAATGGCCCTAAACATTGCATAACCATATAGTAGTCGATTACATCAAGCTTAGTCTCCTGAAGACACACCGAATTAACCTTAATCGAGGCACTAAACTCCCTTGCACCGTTACTCCCGTGCAAAGTCAATGCATGCAAACCATGAGAACAGGACACACCGGAGGACTAGTCCTTGCCCCTAGGCGGTTACACGCAACAAATAGTACTCGGATCCTGTCTTCCCAAACACTTTCCCTCCCAACGCACGCCACGCCATGCCCTCCTCCTCTCGCCGCCGTCGCGGGCCCCGTCGGCGCCGCCGCAAGGAGGCAGCGGAACTGGGCGGACATGCCGCTGGACGCGATCTTCGCCGTCTTCCACAAACTCGACCACATCGACATCCTGATGGCCGCTGACCAGGTGTGCAGCTCCTGGCGCCGCGCGGCGCGGGACGAGCCCGCGCTATGGCGCCGCATCGTCATGCGCGGCAACGCGGATCTCTACTCCCGCATCAACCGCCAGGGGATCGCCTGCGACGCTGTGCGGCGCAGCGCGGGGCAGTGCGAGGCATTCTGCGGCGAGTACGCCGGCGACGCCGGTTTCCTGTTGTACCTCAGCGAGCAGTGAGCACCTACAAACTCGATCCCGTGTTAATTCCACTTAATTATTAATTATTTTGTGTTACAGATGTTTATTTTTGTGTTTCGTTTAAATCTAAATTTACAATTTTCCCTTGGTAGCTAGCCTGGGCATGGCTTCATCCCTTGATCTTTTGTTGATTTTTGGTTCTGGCTAGTACATATATGCTGTTAATTGCACTTGACGTTCAAAATTTTACATATAACTTTGGTTTTTATCATCATGTCAATTGTTTTCACATATATCTTTAACCAAAAAAAATTGTTTCTGAAACAATGCAAACCAGAACCAAAAATACATATTCTAGGAAATACAGAGCACACAAAATTCTCTGTTCAGCTGCCCGTAATAGTTATATTTTTCTTGACTGTCACCCATAATAATTGTTTGTCGAATTTGGAGTTGTTTAGATTTCAGAGACGGAAGATAGCTACGTATAGAAAAAATATATTTGATACTGTTAAATGGCCTGAACTTCAGATATGAGTTCAGACTATTTGATAACTGTTAAATGGACTGAACTTCAAATATGTGTTCAGACTTAAAGAGATGAATACTGACGCTAACTGAACATTTGTTGGTCAACTGATGCTTTGAATAATTTTATTTTTTAAGTATAGACTTTACTTGGTTGAACTGACACCCGATTTGATCAGAGTAATGCAAAAATAAACATATTTAGTGATCTAAACGCTCTTATATTAGTTTACAGAGGGAGTAGATCTGTAGGTAAATATTGTCCAAGCATGAATCTGTGATCAAATGCTTTCGCAATGCCCTGTTCTCTATTCCTTTTGTTGAATTGTTTTATTTTAGCGGCCGTTATTTGTCAAGCTGCACAATCGTAGCTATGTATTCACTTATAAAAATTTACATAATTTGTTTATTTTCCATGCCCCTGTTTTTTATCTTTGCAGGGCTCCCTGTTTGAAGAGCCTTCGCCTCATCTCATGCGATGACATCTCACTTACCGAGTTTGCAGAGCTAATAAGAAGGTTTCCTCTGCTCGAGGAGCTCGAGCTATCTGAGTGTCCAGAGCTACTAGTGGATTGGTCTCGCTCTCTATATCCTGAGGTATACGAGGTTCTTGGGCAAGCATGCCCACAGCTGAAGCATTTCAGGATGAACAAACAATACTTCGACGAGCAGAAATGGGGCAACAATGACACCGATGCCGAGGGGATTGCAGCCATGCATGAGCTGCGCTCACTGCAGCTCGTGGCCAACGACCTCACCAACAAAGGGCTGGCAGCCATCTTGGAGAACTGCCCGCGCCTGGAGTCCCTGGACATACGCCATTGCTTCAATGTCAAAATGGACGACGACGATGGCGGCGGCGAGGACCACGACGGCACGCTGCTGCGAGAGAAGTGCGCCCGTATCAAAACGCTGCGACTTCCCGGCGACTCGACCCATGACTACCATCTCGAGGTTCAAAGCCCTAGGTTCGCTTGCAAGGAGCGTGGCTGGTCCATCAGTCCGGTCTACTACTCCCCGTGGCTCCAGGAATCGGAGGAAGACGACGACGATTTTTACCGTAGTCCTTCCCGTTACGAGGCTGACCTCGACAAATACGAGAAGGTGCTTCCTAGGAGCATGCGCACCTTCCTCTAATGGGAAGACCATCTTCCTGCATTTCGGGCCCTGTCCGTGTACGTGTAGGCGTGTAGCCAACATTTTCTCATGAAGCACCGTGGCCTTGCATGTTATCTTGTTTTGTCATAATGCAGTCGTAACAGTTTAAACCATAATCATGTTACAACGAGTAAATTTGCGCTCTATTTTTCCTCTGAGCGAAGAGTAAATTTCCACTTGCAGATCAATACTGCAGACACTACTTGTGATTTAAAGCTATTTTTATCAGGAATGAAACATATGACATGTGTGCTTGGAAAATTAACTAGCATATGTAAAATAGACATGCAACAAAGTAGGGTCTCCTTTAGTTTGCAAGAATTTTATAAGAATTTTATGGGATATGATTCCTATAGGAAATTTTTCTTTACAACTTGTTTGGCACCAATCATTTGGGGCAGAATTCATGAAATCCAATTGTGAATTCCGACACCAACATGTTTGATTGCCCCGGAATTGGCTGTCAGAATTCATTTCACGGTTCCATAGGTCCGAACCGGTACATAAAACAAATTCTGGACAATAAGCTACCATTCCCAAATCCAATCTCTTTCGACGCCCTCACCTCGCCATCCAAGCCCTCGTCTCCTTCCACCATCGCCGCCCACGAGATTCGTTGTCGCCGCCAGCCCAAAGAAGGCAGGCCGCCGGAGTCGATACCCCACCAGCAGAGCAACCTAATGTCATGCCAAGGGAACCCACCGAGCACATCTCTCCAACCCCCTCTTGTACCTCACCACCTTAGTGGGAAACGTAGTAGAAAACACAAAAAAGTTCTCCTATGAATCAAGTTCCCAGGATCACTATGAAGATGCATAGAGGTTAGATCTGATCCTTACCATCTCGAGCAGCGAAAGAAGAGTTGGTCAAGAACCGTTGGTGCAGATTCCCGCAGCTAGAATTTACAAACTCCCAACCACTAGAGTTTCTCCCTCAAACGAAGATTGAAAGCATGACCTCTCTACCGGGTTGCACGTGTACGAGATCAGCGACTCGGTAGCGCTTCTCCATCCAAAACTAATCGACAAAGAGTACTAGGGGTGGAGCACCCTTGAGGCATCTACGAAGTTTTGTGGAGAGAGGGGGAAGCCCTTTGCGCCTGGAATTGTGTGCAGAAGAGGGGCTGCCCCCTCCACTATATATAGGTGTAGTGGAGGGGCAACTTGTGAGAGCCTGGTTTAATGGGGATGATAGACTACTCATATCAATAAGGCATTCCTTCTTTTCCGGGAGCCCATTAAAAAAAGTATCAAAGTTAAGTGTGCTCAGCTTGGAGCAATTTCAGGATGGGTGACCGGCTGGGAAGTTGGTCCCAGATGCGCACAAGTGAAGACAAAGCGTGCATGAATGACTAGTGTTGATCTGTGGGGCCAGTCTAGATCCCGTCAGGAGTAATGGTCAGTAACCGGCGGGTGTGTCCGGGGAATTACAAGTTGGTATCAGAACTGACCCTCACGGTTACATGGATGTGTTGCGAGTCAGGTGTGCAGTCATGTTGTGCATGATGTTTGTGGCCCATCATGGCTCACAACATGACACATGTGCCGGACTGGACACATAGACATGTGCCAAGAGGGAACATTCCTATGGGCCGACGAGGACGTCGGTTCCTTTGAGTGATGGTGTATGTGAGAGCCTGGCCTAATATGGATGATAGGTTACTCATATCAATAAGAAATTCCTTCTTTTTCAGGAGCCTATTCAGAAAGAACTCCAAAATTAAGTGTGCTCAGCTCGAAGCAATTTCAGAATGGGTCACCAACTGGGAAGTTGATTCCAGATGCGCACAAGTGAGGACAAAGTGTGCATGAAAGACTAGTGTTGATCTGGGGGGGGGGGTCTAGATCCCGACAGGAATAACAGCCAGTAAACATCATGATCTTGTTTGAGTTTATATTGAACATACAAGCTTATCTCAAGAGCTTTATTGAGATAAGTTGGAGACTGAAGGAACAATCCCATTGTAGCCTTTGTGCTCATATTATCAAGCTTTTCTTCGGTTATTGTTCTTGGAGGAAGAAGTGCTTTCATCATTTTCTTAGGCATAACACTCTTAGCTCTTTTGATGTATGGCTTTGAGGTAGGGGCTTGTAGATCCTTTGCATAAGTTATAGATTCTATTATTCGTGCTCTATATCCATTTTAAAATTCAGATCGCTTGAAACATGGTTGATAAGATTTTGAATAGAGGGAGAAAATGTGCAACTTATTTCCTCTTGATCTTAAGAGGATGCCTATGATCCTTTGAAACATGTAATCCATGAAATTAAAAGCTAAGTTCTGATCAAGGAGAAAGCAATTTATTGAAAAATGCTCTTATGTTTGTGGTGTCTCCAACCTTGGGGTCCAAAGTACTTATATCTATAAGGATACCTCAATGTGAATATCCCTTGATGAAGACCGCTAGTTATCCCAAGATCCTTTTTCTTTGTGTTGTTCACATCACAGAGACATTTCATTTGTTCTTCATGTACTTCTTTTGTCGACAAAGGGTGAATTTTATTAGCTAAATATGGAGCATTAAGAGGATACAAAAGATCACACACCCATCCTCTGCATAGTTAGGATGCACATAGTCAAGACGGACGCACAAAAAATCACACCAACAACTAGCAAAATCATACAGGACCTATGCTAAAGGGAGAGAGCACTAGTAGAAAACAGGGCTTTGGTTCAGGCCATATAAGCCCATTAGTCCCGGTTTAGTCAAGAACTGGGACCCATGGGGGCATTAGTCCTGGTTCGTGAGGCCAGGGGGCCTGCCGAGCCTCGTGGGGGCATTGGTCCCGGCTCGTCTGGCCCCTTTGGTCCCGGTTGGTGGGACAAACCGGGACCAATGGGCCTCGCTCCTGGCCCACCACAATTGGTCCCGGTTGGTGGCTTGAACCGGGACCAAAGGCTCCCCTTTAGTTCCGGTTCAAGCCACGAACCGGGACCAATGATGTGCCTATATATACCCCCTCGCCGGCAAGCAGAGCACTCCACACTGCTCTGTTTTTTCTGGCTGGCGAGGGGAGGGCTTTGTGGTGCTCTAGCTCACCTCCTATGCACATGAGGTGTTCGATGAAATGCCCGAGCCACACTACTTAAGCTTTCTCCTCTCCAAGCTCGACCTCCAAGCTCCATTTTCCACAATATTTGTCTAGGTTTAATGGTCCTCACGTCCCGTCCCCGTCTTCACCGCCATCAATCACCCACGCCAATCTCGTCGCCGGAACCACCGTGGTGAGCCTCTTGTTCTTATCTTCTTTCTGAAAGGAAAAAAATCTTACTTGTATGTTTAGATAGATACTTGTGTAATTTTCTTACTTTTATTATTGCTTCTTATTATATAGTGCGATGGTTTTGGTATCCGGCCCCGTCGGCCCTCGTCCTGTCTATGATTCAGATGTGGTATATATTATCTTTTATAACTATTTGGTTCATTTATTGTTTATGACAATTATGCCGACCAACGTGACATGGATTTTATTTATCTAGGAGGTATGCGAACCGGAAATTCCAACCGACCCTATTGTCGAGAGGTTAAATTTAGTTGAAGAAGAAAACAATTTCTTGAAGGAAAAAAATTGAGGAGGAGAAGATGATATTGGAGTTGCATGTTGCGGATGTCGTCGATGATCACAAGATCAAGATGGATGCAATGCGCTTGAAGATTAGAAAGATTAGAAAATATGCCATTCATACCGAGGCTTGGTATCGTTATGTTGTTGGATCGATTGTTACCTTGATTGCGATTATGATCGCATTTGTTTTCGCATTGAAATGTTTTACATAGTTTCAATGTATGGTTTAATTAATTAGATGCTCTGGATAGCTATATGTTGTTCAATGAGAACTATGTATGTACTTTGGTTTTAATGTGATGATGAACTTCTATTAATTTGGTCACTTAATTATCTATTCATGATGTTCTGTAATGGTTTTTGACACACTTAATTATATATAATGCACGCAGATGAACCGGCAATGGATGTACGGTGACAGACACACCTAGAGTACATTGAGGGCATGCATAATTTTCTCGAAGTGGCTGAGGCAAACAAGCAGAATGGTTTTATGTGTTGTCCATGTCCTATATGTGGGAATACAAAGTCTTACTCTGACTCGAAAACCATTCACACCCACCTGCTTTATAAGGGTTTCATGCCACACTATAATGTTTGGACCAAGCACGGAGAAATGGGGGTTATGATGGAAGACAGCGAAGAAGAAGAGGACGATGACAACTATGTGCCCCCTGAATACGGTGATGCTGCAATGGGGGAAGCTGTTGAAGATCAAGAGGAACCATACGATGTGCCCGATGATGATCTCCACCGGGTCATTGTTGATGCAAGAAGACAGTGTGAAACTCAAAAGGAGAAGTTGAAGTTCGATCGCATGTTAGAGGATCACAAAAAAGGTTTGTACCCCAATTGCAAAGATGGCAACACAAAGCTCGATACCGTACCAGAATTGCTGCAGTGAAAGGCGGAGAATGGTGTGCCTGACAAAGGATTTGAGAAGCTACTAAAAATATTGAAGAAGAAGCTTCCAAAGGATAACGAATTGCCCGACAGTACGTATGCAGCAAAGAAGATTGTATGCCCTCTAGGATTGGAGGTGCAGAAGATACATGCATGCCCTAATGACTGGATCCTGTACTGTTGTGCGTACGAGGATTTGAACACATGCCCGGTATGCGGTGCATTGTGGTATAAGATCATACGAGATGACCCTGGTGATATTGACGGTGAGCGCCCCCGGAAGAGGGTTCCTACCAAGGTGATGTGGTATGCTCCCATAATTCCACAGTTGAAACGCCTATTCAGAAACAAAGAGCATGCCAAGTTGATGCGATGGCACAGAGAGGACCGTAAGAAAGATGAGAAGTTGAGAGCACCCGCTGACGGGTCGCAGTGGAGAAAAATCGAGAGAACGTACTGGGAAGAGTTTGCAGGTGACACAAGGAACGTATGGTTTGGTTTAAGTGTGTA